AGTCCTGCGTACCGGCCCCCCACAGCCAGGCGGCGATTTGGAGCACGGTTTATTTACGTCTGATCAGTGTGTTTTCTCATGTTACTGCAGTTATTTGTGTTCCCCTATAATTCAAAGATAAGTGGAGTGTTTAGACGAGGATGAAAAACTATTCTGAAGTGAGCTCTTGAATCATCATAATTAACTTCTCAGAAGTCATCTCCAGTAAGCTATGACTAGTCCAGCAGCCACATCGGGTGTCATGGCACTTCAGCTCGCTAAATAATTCTGCCTCCAACCTGGCTGAAAATGGCTTTTATAACATTTGCTGCCCTTTTATAAAGGTCAGGTACTCCATAACATTATCCTGACTCAGAGGCAGCCTTCCTCCGTTGTTTTGAGTGATGCCATTGATTAGCAGAGTTCCTAACGTGGTGGCTGTTACTTTGTCGAAGGACCTCAGCATACTAGCGAAGTGTCATTATTATAATTTCTGGAAGTAGTAGTCTGTAAACTGGAAGTTTTGTTTCCGACAGTGCTCAGACAGATTTCCACATTTCATTTTGAGGACACAAGAAAAAACCCCAAACCATGTTTGGTGAATATTCCTAATAATTTTGTAGAGGAAATTTGCTATTGGTTAATCAGGAAGTAATGCACCTCAACCTCTAATTGTGTGTTCCTTTTATTCTCCACCTTCAAAAGAGGTAATTAGAGGACTCAGGAAAAGGATAGAAATCTTAGTGTCATAAAACAGTCTTTTTACCATGACATGGTGATTGGGCACAACATTTAGAACAATATATCTTACAACTGAGAGCTAAATTTCAGCTTTGTAAAAAACATTAAGTAGCAACTAAGTGAAATGTTTCAAACGTAGTATCAAGTATTTAATTTCTAAACATTGACAGACAGCAGTCTTCCAGTGTCAACCGATACCATGGATGTGGATGCTCTACAGAAGCTTATTCATTTGCTCCAGGCCACAGATGATCCATTAATTCAAGAGCAAGCTTTAATCACTCTCAGCAACAGTGCTGCCTTCTCTGTAAATCAAGTGAGTATTGTTCTGTAGAAAACAACAATGTCCAATGACAGCCAGTCTGGCAGAGGAGAGCTGCTGTTCTGCTAAAGAGTGACACAGGACTGAAAGCTAGGACAGCTTGTGCTCTAAAATCCATTTAATTTCTTGCCTTAATTTCTGCTGGCCCAAATAATATAATTCACTAGCTTCACAGAATGTATTGAATTATAATGTTTGGAGCACTTAAAGTCCATACAGAGTCCTGTATTTCAAAAGTGCTGTAAATGTATCTTTTGTTGCTTACAATTATGTAATGTTAATGAAAGGCTTGAATACTACGTTAAATACTTTCTGGTTCAGATCTAAAGATTAGTGAGATATTTTTTGCCACTCACAAAGTTGTGTGCTGTTTGCACATTAGCAATTTTACAACTATCAAGGTATCTGCAAATCATTTGGATATAGAATGCAGAAAAACTTTGAGCTGGATGCCAGTTTTCATGCCTTCTTAACAGTTTTAACCTCCAAGGTCCCACCCTTTTTGCTACTTATGATGGCTGTCTGTTCTGGCTTCTCAAAATGGCTTTCTTAATATAAATCTCTTAGAACAGAATGCAACTGAAACATAAAGCTCACTGGTCCATTTTAATTTTTTAAAAAGCAGTATTTTTTTTAAAGACGGTTACAGTCTAAGTGAGAAAGAGTAAAACAGTAATAAAAACAAGTGTAATGGGAAAAGTTTCATGACCTGTAATAATATGAAGCTATATCTTGAAATTCTGTCCTGTTCAGGCAGGACTTTTAGGTACTGCAATCTGTCTCAATTGTTCTATTAACTCATTATCAAGTAATTTCAATTTATTCTTTATAATGTAAAATGCTTTAAGCATACTTTGCAGACCATATTTTAAAAGCAAAGGTGATGTACCATTGTCAAATAACAGCAACTAATACTTTTCTTCCTAAGCAGGACCCTTCTTAGTTTCAGTAAAGCAATAAAGCAGTATCTGCTAACACTCTCTTTGAACATAGCAGTCAATTCTGAATTCTTCATTCACATACTTCACTTTTGTCAATATGGAGATGTTGAGGGAATGCTTCAGCATTTAAATTAAATTTTTAAAAATCCTATTAAATATCTTCTATATTTCAGGATATAATCCGAAATTTGGATGGTCTTTCTGTTATTGGACGGATGCTCTCCAACTGCGTTCCCAAAGTTAAAGAAAAAGCACTAAATGCACTTAATAATTTGAGCATGAATATTAAAAATCAGGAAGAGATTCAGGTAAGATTCTTAATGGGAAAAACCAAAGTAACCAAGACAAAGACATAGTATAGGTCCTTCAGCGTATTTTTTAAATACAAGCCAGGATGCCAAAATGGTTTGATGATAGACATACAAGTCAGCAGATCTGGATGACTGAAAGGATAACTTCACTGGCATTTACTTTTAAAATAAAAGACAGGAACCTATGCAGTTTATGTTCAGCATTCACAAAATACTATTAAACAGAGATTGTGCTGCTAAGATTATAGCAAAATTATGTGAGGTAAGATGATTTCCAAAAAGGCCTAGAGCATCACCAGTGGCTGTTTAACAGAATGGATTGCAGACTGAACTTGCCAGGACTCCTTAGGTGAGAGTGAAGAAAAAAGTAATTGAGCCCCTTGTATGAGACCAGTTTTTCAGGTGATACTTCCATCTTAAAAGTAAACTCTGTATAAATTATAACAAGTTCCTCTGGTAAATACAGTACATGCTATGGATATGAAAGGACTGAGCTGAGGCAGATTTGAAGACTTACTAGTTTGTTTCAGTAGCTTGATAAAAAGGTAGTGTGACTGCATATGGTAGTTTGCAGCTTCTTTAGCAATAGGCAATTTTTATTAAGTAGTGCTTGTCAGTATTTGTCTAGGTGTATAAATACAAAATAACTCCTTTGGTAAGGGTAAAGTATTTTTTAGCTCAGTTAGGGCTCCAAGATTTGTTGTCTACTGTCATCCAGAAGAAAAATTGGTAAAAACAGTAATTATTGTCAGTTGTCATTGCTGTTCCTATAGTGTGCTCCAGTAAATGCGCCACATGGTTGGAAGAATTTAATTTCAAAGCTTGTCCTTAGCTTGTTCTCAGTATTTAAGATGTTAGTTACTTGTAAGTTATTTTTAAAGCAGCTCCTTAAAGCAGCTGTGTCACTTCTGAGATGGAGAACAAAGCAATTTAAGTTTTCAGAGCAAGGTATGTTTCAGGAAGATTAGTGAGCATAATACTGTATGGTCTGCTTCTGTCATGCCACTAGAGTGTTTGAAATATTCAAAACAAAAACATACTTTTTTCGAAGAGCCTTTGCCATTCAGCCAACAATGATCAGGAAGTATTTTTGTTACTGTAGCTAGGCCATTGATACTATTTGTGACAGAAAATATGCTTTTATTAAAAACTATTCTCTATTTCCTCCCCTTTCCCCAGGTATTTATTACACAAGTTTGTAGGACTGTTGAGTCAGCTCCCCTGAACTCTGATGTGCAGCTGGCTGGACTCAGGCTGTTGACAAATATGTCTGTTACCAGTGACTACCACCAAAAGATGATAAACTCAATTCCATGCTTTCTTCATTTGCTTTCAGAAGGAACTGAAAGGACACAGGTACTGTGTAGTGTTATTTTTACAAGCCATTTATGAAGCTGCTTTGCTTGCCTTGTTTTTTAATGTTTTGGTAAAATGGTTTAGACTATGCCAAGAAAAACCAAATAGTCATTAATGATAACAGATTTTATGCACTAAAATGTGGATCTATATTAGTTTCACAACATAAATTCAAAAATGGGGAGGGAAGGGAATCATGTGATTGCTTTATCAGATCAAAACCAGTTTTCCAAAAAACACATTTCCACTAAACATAACACAGCTATTGTACTTAAGTACAGGAAGTAACATGGCCTTTTTCTAAAGACTAGCATCACAAGGTCCAAGAAAGCACAAAGGTGTATTTTTATATGCTTCAGATAATTATAAATGCAGTACTTAACCATCTTCTTTATATTTTAAAGATATTCTGCATTTGGCCTACTGGGATTTGTTTATGGGTCTTGCCTTATTTTGATGTTTAAGTCAATCTGAATTTGCTTCTAGCATGTCTATACCTTGGTTTTCCCTATGCCAAAATACTCAAGATACTGGTTAACCCATTTTGCCTTTTTCTTCCCAAATCTTTGACATTATTGATACCCATTACAGCTTTACTTACTGTTTTGGAGCTTTTAATGAACTTGAGCATTCCTCACTTCAGATTCAAGTTTTGAAAGTACTTGTGAACTTATCTGCAAACCCAGCCATGACAATACATCTTCTCAGAGCTCAAGTAAGGTTCTTGCTGCTTCATTTTATTTTTAGCATATATACATGTGTACGAGTTAAAATATTGCATGCACTAGAAAAATTTTAATGTATTAGAAATATATATGCAATTCCAGAATAAATTATAGACACTGCTTGGTTAAAATCAGTAACTAAGTGCACATTCTTTCACGGGTGGGCTTTATTCCAGAGGGTAGTGTAATACAGATGCTGTACTTAGAGAAGGAGAGGCATGGGACCTGTGCACTTGGAGACATTGCTTGTACTTCCTGTGTACAATTCCAAATAATCAACCTTCCCTTTCCACCAAAGAGGTAATACCATGAAGTTCAGTTTGTATTATGTAAAAGGAACCCAAAACTTCATTTCCAGACACACAGTCAGTATATGGATTGAAAACCATCAAACAGAACCAGTACTGTAAGTGATCCTTCTCAACTGCTGTTTCTATAGCTAACATACTGGACCAAACCCAACCAAATTCCACTGGAATCCCCACCGCTTTATTCAAATGCAGCAATAAAACTGTTGCCTCTAAGTGAACTTTCCCTGTGCATTTACTTATTTCTTCATGGAGAAAATTTTTTGACATTTGCTGTGTTGGCCTTGGCACACAGGTTTCTTTAAGTTTCAATTCCTCACAAAGAAAGTTGGGGGCTGGAATGGTGCTGCATCCTCATCCACTCCCCAAAGTAACATTCTTAAAATGTTAGTTACTTATAACTGATATAACTTAAAATGCAATAGCTTTTATTTGTGAGCTATCTGCCACAAGCAAAGCTAGTCCAGATAATGCTGTATTTTCATTATTCAAACAAGTTTAGCATAACTAAATATTCAGTTCTGTTTAGTGTATCATTTTGTCATTTATCATATATGTTAACAAAAACATTCAGGGCAAAATCAACCTGACTTTGATTTTGGAAAGGAAGGAAAGCATACCCCCTCTTCCAAATGGGAATTTTCCAAACAGCCACATTTTGGAGATTGAAAATACAAAGCATTAGCTCATTGATGCACAGGCCAGTCTCTCCTAAAGAGAAAATGTGCACACTGTGCAAGTTTCCGACAGGAGTTCACAGCATACTAGAATTTCATACAATTTCTTGTTTAGATGGTTTAGGTGCAGATTTTTTTCCATTTTCTGAAGTTTGATTTAGTTACACATACTTACTGCTGGTGATTAAGTATGGACTATTTCTTCAATATCCTAGGTGCCATCAATGGTGTTACTTTTTGACAGCTGTGTGAACAGAGATATTCTGGTTCGAGCCCTGGCATTTGCAGCAAACTTGAAAAAGAACATGAATGATGAAGAAGGCACCATGATTGAGGAATACAATGAAGACTCAGTTTTCTTCACACTCTACAGGGACTCTGCCCCATTCGCTCAGAGACTGGCTTCCTTGCTGCATCATCCTGACACAGAAGTGAAAGAACAAGTTGTGAGAATATTAACACAATAGTGTTGTTTTCTGAAAACAGACTGACCTGATGAAAATTATCTAATCTTGGCAATGCTATGCTAAAAAAGTCTGCAACAAGTAAACAATACAACAATGATGGAGGAAAAAAAAAGCCCTAAATACTGTCATTTTAATAGGCACAAATTATTTACTACAAAAGAGAATGCCATGTATTTAATACAGAGAGCATAACAGATATTTTTTACAAACAAGAGAAAAGCAATAGTTTAATTATTACTGATAAACCACTGCACAGTTGCTACATTTGTGCAATGGGGGCAAACAGTTAAAACATTAAAACATTTCTATGTAAAATGAACATTTTAAATGGATGAGTGAAGTGAATGAAAATATCCTTTGCAATGTCAAAGACCTTTTTTTACTTTTAAGTATTTACAGCTGTTGAATAAATACCTCATTAGAATTGTGCATTAAAGATTCAGCAATCTGAGATTAGGCATTTATATTTTATTAGTCTACCTATGAAAATGGTACATCTGAATCTTACAAAATAATATCAAATAAAAACAATACCAGACTATCATTGGCTTCCTACAGAATTAGCATCTTCAATGAAAGCTGCATACTAAAGTCACCAAACCTAGGTTTTTTCATTGTACCTGTATGGAATTTATTCTTAAACTCCATTTTTGTATGCTTAGTATATCCACTCCATTTAGCCAAACCGCAGTGCAATTAACCACAACTGTGAAAGGTTTCTACACTTGAACAAAAATTGAAAGGATTTTATATTGCGTTAAAATTGTCACTTTAGGGAAAGTAGACATATTTTTAAAAAGTATTTTATTAGGAGTCAAGGATTATCTGCAACTACAATTCAAAATTCTCATTCCTATTAAAAAAAAAAGTCTACAGGAGCAGTATCATACACATTTTTACAAAAGCTTCCAATTCTGTAGCAGCCCTTGGGCTTCCTTTCCATGGATATCTTTACTCCTTATTTTTCTGCAACTGGAGCATCACTGGAATGAGTGCTTCTGCAGAATTAGCCCCCGTAAAGTTTTAGTCAGCAACCCAGCATTAATTCAAAATGAAGCAGAATCCATACAAACATCATTGTAAAAGAACCTGAACAGAGTTTCACTGATGAAAAGAAAATACACTGGAAAATACTTCTAAAACCTAATTACAAAAAAACTTCCACTACAGAGAAACTAAGAAAGGTGTCAGATGTAAAGGCTAGGAAAGTTTTCCACTTTGTTCCATTTTTAAGAGAACTGTAGCACCTAAACTCTGCTCTTAAGAAAACATTACTATCTTCTCTTTCTGTAATGCAATAGCGACTTCTTTTCAGAAGGTCACTTTGCAAATAGCTAAAACTGCAAGAAAAATATGACCTTGAAACTGTGACACACCCATGCCCTGATCAATACAGGGGTAAAGCTACACGTATCTAATTTATCCACGTAGGTAGTTTTAACTCACCAGGAATACAATTAAGGAAGAAATAGAAGTTGGCATGATTCCCAGTCAGAAACTTGACAATTGCTGCATTGAAAGTGAACTTCCTTTTCTCCTTCCCACTGCTCCTAAAACACTGTACAGTTTGTAATAAGCAAGTTACATTGCAATCACTTAACGTTTTGCAACTTTTTGTAGATTTAATGTTTTCTGCTACTGAATTTGACTAAGAAAAACAAAGACTCGGCCAGACACTAAGAATTTACCCACTGCTCTCCTGACAAGACATTAAGACCAGTCTGTTCTAGCTATAGCTGACACATGGTTTCTTAAGCTCAACAACAGAGATGTCTAGATGTCCCTTTCTGTGTTCTCCAACCTAAAAATAATTTTTTCAAGTACCATCTTTTTGATAGAGTTGATCTCTTATCCATTGTTTCGACAGCTGACAGAAACAAGTAACCTTTTCTAAAAATACATGAAAACTTACTACAGTTTGTCTCAGTTTTCTTTTTCTGTTCTATAAAGAGCTATTTTAAAATGTTTTCTTCATAGAACAATGCTGTTGAGATGTTTGAAATCATACAAGACCTTCCAGTGTGCCTTTTTGCAAAGATGTCTCATTTTTATCACCCACCTCACACCCTTGGTGGAATCTTATCATCACTAAGCAAAATGTAACCGCCACCATTCTAGGAACAAATGTTGAGAATTAGCAGATCCAAAACAATACGTGTCGTTACTGACATTTAGTTTCTGATCCATGTAACTCAGTATATCTATCTATGCTCTTTGGCTGCTTAGCTAGGCATTCTGTATTTTAGTTTCACTCTTTCCAAAGTAAATAATTGATGATTATAAAAACAGGAAAACAACCCATAACAAAACCAACCTTAATCTTAAACTTGTCCTTCAAAGTACTCAAAACTTCCCGCAGCGTTGTGTCCTCCACAAAATTACAAACAGGTAATATACATTGTATCACCCCAAGTAGTGATTGAAGCTGTTGTGTAAATACAAGAGAATTCATCTGAAACACCCCCAACACTGAATAACAAGGTAGTTTTAATCCAGTTTTGATAACTGTCTATAGTTAAAAGATTATCTCAGTTGTTCCTACCATGAAATCTCATTAACTGGTTTTAATTAGTTGCCAGAAGTTCATGCCTTTAAATAATATGTCTTTTTTATATATATTTATCTTTGTGGGATACGAAAATAAAATATACAGCAAGAACGAAAAAAAAAAAAAAACCCAAACCAACCCACATATCTTATAGACCAAAAGAAATAAAAAACAAAACATGATTTGCCAATGAAATTACGAAGGAGAATAACAACCCTTTTTATTGGCTGGCAACAATAGGCTTTAATTCTGTAAATTAGCAAGACAACTTGACACAGACACATTTGGCCAAGTTTTATAACACTGAACAATGTTGTAATCTTGATTCGACTTTAAAATTATAGGGAAGCTATTAGAAAAAATACCACAGCCCTTACTTAAGACTTTCTACTGAGGGGAAAAAAAAGAAGGTTCTTAGAAAAAAGCTGAGTTAATGCAATGACAAGTGACATTAAGAGGTTCTTCCACTTCATGTGCTGCAATTGATACATTCAGACTAACTTAAAAACATAGACAAAACAATTAAAGTGTGCAGATATTCTGGCCAGCAGTTAGTTTTACACATCCATGATGCAATATTAAATTATCTCTTTCTTTAAAAGGCACATTTCTTTGATGTAAAATTCAGCTTTTGTGGTTCATTAATACATGAAAATGAAGAGTGAAACAATTTTACCATGCTTGTGCTTTAACAACATAGCTGTATTGGAAGACTTCACCCCACAAAACATACAGTGAAGCTGTAAGAAGCTTGTACATCAAGGTACAGGGCATAACCTGAAGACTAACAAGTGGGAGATGACAGTTTAACAATGAATAATTCAAGTCAGCCATTAATTCTAAGAATATGTTCTGTGCTGAAGTTATTATTGCTGCTGCAGGTAAGATGAAGAGTTTAAAAATAATTTTTTTAATCAGTGGTGTACATCAGAGCCATTTCTTCCCAGACAACACTTAATATATAAACCACTTTTAGATAATCTAATTATAAACAATGTAACTAGTTAAAATTTGTCATGAAATTGGTATGCAAGCTTTAGTTCTGAAACTGACAAACTTGGCATTTAGAAATCCAATTCAATCTCAAAAATCTATTGTGTACGTTATGTTAGTATTGTCACATTAATTGCTAGATCAAATCAAACAGGGCTTAAAAGGAACTGACACTGTTTCAGTTTTCAAACCGGTCATTTGTATTCAAATTCCGTGATTCTCCATGGCGTAAGAGAAAGAAGTCATCTTTTTTCAAGCCATATCTTTCAAGAGCTTCATTCAATTTAACTGGAGGATCCAAGTAATACTGAAAAAAATGAGAATAATATGAGGGAAAAGATACCACTGCAACATTTTTTGAAGGGAAAAAAAAATACCTCTAAAAAACGGAGGGAGGAGGAGGATATTTGTCAAATTAAAATGTTTGGATTAATTTGAAGTATTTGAACGATAAGAACAATGATTTGCAGCTGCAGAGTAACTAGCAAGGCTCAACTTGGCAGCCCCAGCTCGGTGGCCTTAAGGCAGCGATGGATCCCTGGGAGGAAGCGCTGGCCGCCAGCAGCCGGCGCTTTCCCTCGCTCCGTAACCCCGCGCTGTCAGCGCTCCCGTCTGAGCGCTCCCCCTCAACTTACCCCGGTGGATTTGCTACATTTCCGACAGGCATCGTCAAGGAGTAACCATCTAAATACACAGTAACATTTGTACTGCGGGCACTAGTAGCACCATTTATTGGAAACACTGCGGGCAGGAAATGTTCTATCCATGCATCACATCCCATGTTCCCTCCATGCATAGACAGGACAGAACATTTATACACTATCAGGAATGAATTATGAGAAAGTGGTGCAACTAATACACAAACAAAGTTGAAAAACAGCTACCAGACAACATCAAAGCAAATGTTCCTATTCATTGCACTTTCAGTTGCTGTGAATGTATCTGGGTAACCTTCTTATTATATCTGTGGACTTGGGGGAGGTGTGCAGAAGGAAATAAAACATTGAAAAAAACATCAAAAACTCAGAATAACTGATTTTTTTTCATATCCTTTCTGGTTTCAACTTTGAATAAACTATTAAAAATACTGTTTATATATTTAGTGGACAGAATAAATACTGTATTGACCTACAGGCATGCAGTTCTTACTATCTCCAAGTGATGCACCACTCAGAGTGTTTTTATTACTGCATAACATAATGCATAACACTGCATAATACTGCATGTGTCCTCATCTGTTATGTTCCGCAGCATTTGGATATCAGAAATCCTCCACATTTGCTTCAATAACTCTGTACTTTCTTAATTATGGAAATATTTTGTGTAATTGGTTATGAAAAGCTAAGTATTGTTTTGAACAACAGTATATAGAGTAACAAGATTTCACTAATACAAAGTTCACATTTTAAGTTTACATTTACAGATATGTAAGTTAAACTGCACAAGCAAAGCTTCACTAATGACTGTCTAGTCCTTGGAAATCTGAACTCATGTTTAATTTTACAATTTACCTCATTTGCTAAAGCAAAGGTTCCCCAGTGAATTGCTACAGACTTCTTTGCTTGAACATCAATATGGATTCTTACTGCTTCTTCAGGATCCACATGCTGGTATTTCATAAACCACCTACCAAAACAAAGAGGCACTTTTTTGTGTCACCTAATCCAGTGCAAGATTTCTCCTTTACTGCCATTACAAAGTACAAAAAGAAATATGTGCTCACCTAATCAAAAAAATCATAAGCATGTACACCTGGACAACATACAGAACACTCAAGACTCAAGATCAAGAAACTAATATACACAAACATGCCCATCAAACAGCAGTTCATTTATTGTACTCTCTTTTTGAAGGATTTTTTCTTATCTCTAGTTTCAATAGGTTAAGGACATATTACTGGTGCCTTGAGGCATTAGGGCTGAAACTTTAAAGCAGTCCCTGAAAAAATTTGTGTGTGCTTCTGAGATAGCCCAAGGGAACAGGCAAAACGGAAGAAAGAACTTTACAATTTTTGAAAGATACTGAATTTTTACCATGCTATTTAGATTCCCATCTTTTTTTCTCAGACCATACATGTTTTCTTTATAAGCGTGTATGAATACTATTATCTAAATGTTTTCTCCAACAGAAGAAAAGTTATCTCTTCTGAGCAAACAGATTTTTCATACTCTATAAGCAAGTCATCTTTGTCTACAAGTAAGTTATAAAACCAAAGTAAACACTGAAGGAAGAGAAAAAGAGCAAATGACACACACTGGAATGGGCTGGATTAAATTGCACTGTTTCAGAAAAAAAGGCACAGAGTAATAATTTCAGATTTTTACTCAACATTTTTAAAGGAAGAAAGGACAGCAAGGATGAATCAGCAGTCTTAAGTCTGAAGAAAAAACTCTCAAACATCAAACATACACATACTTTTTAATAAAGTACACCTACAGCTTTGACTTCTGGGTGTATTTTTTGTCATCAGTACATAATTTCATTTATGTATATTGCTCAAACTCCGATTTTCCTACCTTGGTTCATAAGCTCCAATGGGGATGGCTGCAAGATCAAAAGGTCCAAACCTTTTACCTATTTGTTCAAAAGCAAAACAATATCCAGTATCTCCTGCAAAGAAAAACCTATTCCAAGGTCCCAAGACAGACCAGCTGCCCCAGAGAACCTTGTTATCATCTGTCACAGTCCTTTTGCACCAATGCTGGGAAGGGGTGAAGACAAAAGTTACCGAGTCATGACCAGGGACACAGTTCTCCTCCCACCAATCCAGTTCGATCACATTCTCACAACCACATCTCTGCATCCACTGCAGAAGCCCCAGGGGCACAAACCAGCGCAGCTCGCTCCCGAAGCGCTGGTTCAGGCTGGCCACGCTGTTGTAGTCCAGGTGATCGTAGTGCGTGTGGCTGATCAGCACCGCGTCTATCTTGGGCAGCTGCGCCACCGTGCACGGAGGCCCTCGGAAGCGCTTGGGACCCAAGAGCTGAACAGGGGAAGCTCTCTGGCTGAAAATGGGGTCAGTAAGAAATATGAGTTCATCCATTTCCACCATAACTGTGGCATGTCCCAGCCATGTGACTCGCATACCAGCTCCTGTCTTCCCAGCATCTTCTGGTGTTTGAACAAAGTAAGGTTGTAACACTGGGAGTTCTTTATCGAGTTCCTGGCAAAAAAGAACACAATATGCATGAGAGATTTCAGAATGTACTTGGCCGTGGAACAAAAACTGCATACAAGGCACAGATCCATACAGTCAAGACTTGGACTTTGTTTATGCTTTTATGCAGAGAACTGCAGCACCCACCAGATGCCTTTTTCATGTCCATTTTCCCAGCTACTTCCTCCTAATTTAATTTTAGGTTTTTGCAACATTTACACTTCTCTGTCGAGAAAGAGAAGAGAGTATCCCTTCAGGCCAGCAGACCTGATATAGTCTGGAGGCATTGCAATGAAAGCACTGCAAGGCAGTAACAGCATCCCAGGAAGGGATTCCTCCACCTGAAAAAGAATATGTATACATACACACAGATTGTTATTTAACAAATACTCAAGTTTAGATTATGCATCTAAATGATGCAACCTAATAAATCCTAGCACAAGTAAGTCACAGATGAAAGAAAACGCCACGTTCCCCAGTCACGCTCCACAAAAGCTCTGCTAGCTTTTATCAGGCCCTCTCTCTATCCATCCTCATTACATCTAGAAGTAGCACACAAAGGTTAACTTCACTTGGCTAATGTTACCTATTAGAATTCTGCCTTCCAATCCTGCCAAGAATTTAATGACATTCATAAAAACCAAAGTAATTTTTATGATAAACCTTAAAGTACTTAGATATGCTTGGTTATGAAAAGGTTCCCCCACCTCCTCTCTTACTCCAGCTTGACAAGTTTTGCAGTCCCTACTTGAGTATGACAGGTCAGAAAACTGATCTGGCTGAGCACTAATCCAGAAATAAAAATACACAGTTCTCATTTTTATTGGCTCCAATTTGACTCTGTGTGCATCCTCAAGCTGGCACAAAGGTGGCCATGGCTGTACATTACTACTGAAACTCACTGCCCAACCACCACTCATTCTCTCATCTTGAACTAGAGTTATGCTCATCACTGCCGTTTGGTTGAAGTGCTAATGCAGAAGTTTTATATGCAATAAATAAGAGCTTTCCTATTAACAAACAAACAAACAAAAAACCCACAACAACAACAAAAAAAACCCAACAACAACAACCAAAGAGTCGTATTAGGATCCTGACCATCTCTAGCTCAGCCACAATGTGGCTAAGGCTCTCGTCCCAAACACCTATGGTTGGAACTCTTCACTTTGCTTTTAAAGAATTTTCATGTGCTAGGGCAGCTTTTAGACTCCTGACACTCCTCTCCCTCATAATCACAAATGTCCCAGCACTTCTGGTTCCAAGTCAAGTTCTGCCTGCCATGGTTGCAGCTCTCATTCTCTCAGCCTAGCACAGATTTGCACTTTCAGTGAGTTTATACAGAGCTGACCTTGTGCTCCTTTAAAAGTCCAGCTGATGTTGTGACAGTTTAGGACTCCAAGAGTTGCCTTGCTAAACCAGTCCTGACAGCTTCAGGGAAATTACTTTCTCCACAATATTTTATTGATTTGGAAGGCATATGTTGGGAAAAACAAAGCATGCACATCTCCATTCCCCTGCAATTCTGCTGTAAATAATAAAATATTAATGAAATTGCTTTTTCTGAGAGCTAATGGACAAGACATGTTTACTGAACAAGTTTCATTACTGTCTACAGGAATGAGAAATAGATAACCTCCTATAAAGCTGAATGTAAGGTTAATACAATTCAATCCCCTAATTCATACAAGAAAAACAGGAATCTTAGACTGAGATAAATGGCTGCTTCACCAAGAAAGAAGACATCATTTTCTTATCTCTATTTCATTCTAAGTACATGGGAACAACATTGGCCACAGAAATCTGAACCACAGAAGTGTTATACTGTGATATTTCAATTTTAAATAAAAGAAAGATACACAAAACTAACATCATACTCAAAAATGGAAATTAGGACAAACTAACAAATTACATATGGTTAAGTCAACAAATCACATTATATCAAAGAAATAAAACTCAGATATGGAACTTAATGAATAAGTTCATAATGCAATTTAGGTCAGTTAGTAAATTTTTTATGGAAAATGTTCTTTTTAAGTAGCTGGTTTTAGAGATAGACTCCAAATTTCTCAGAATTAAATTAATTCACTTATTTTTGCTGAGGCAGACTGATGTTTTAGCTATTGCTGAGCAGTGCTTACACAGCATCTCAGCCAGCTGGCTGGGGCACACAAAAAGCTGGGAGGGACACAGTTGGGACAGATGACCCAAATCCATCAAAGAGATATCCCATATCATATGATATTGCACCCAGCAGTAATATCTGGGGTAAGAAGGAGGAGGTGGGGGACATTCAGAGTGAATGGTTTTTACCTTCCCAAGTAACTGCTGCATGGGGTGCAGCCCTGCTTTCCTGGGGATGGCTGAACACCATGAAAAGACAATAAATTTCATAGTTGGCTTGTGCACACATTTTTTGCTTTACCTATTGAACTGTCTTTATCTCAAATCACAAGTTATCTGATTTTTCCCCTTTCAATTCCACTGGGGTGCAAACGGGGGGGGGAGGGGGTGTGGTAAAAGTAAGCAGCAGACAGGGACTTGGTTGCCTAAAGCCACAACACATCTGCACTACTAATAAAGGCTTTACAATGATGTCGCTGGGACTGATGCTATCAAGTATTTAGAACAGTTGATTTAAAGGTAGAACTGATCAGTATAAAAGGCATTTGTAAGAGTCACACAGAGAGGAAGATTGACAGAGAAGAGCACAGTCCAAACAACTGCTATCCTGATCTATTTAAATGAAATCCTGTGAACAAAAGTTCAAGACAAACCAAGAGCACAAAGGCAGTGTAACTTGTGGATCTCCAGGTTTGTGATACACAGGCCTCTGAAATGATTCCTCAGAGGATGTGATTAGAAATCAGGCATGTTGCTGAGCTAGCATGGTAAATTACATCAAAACATTACTTCTGCATGTGCATGTGATTTATGCTTGGGGTTGTTTGGTTTTGGTTTGGTTTTTTTGGTTTGTTTTTTTTTTTTTAGTATTTTACAAAAGCACACCAAAATCCCTTTTTAATAGGAATAATAAATACTCATAAGATTTCAAACTAAAACACAAGTTCTATTAGCAGTCTACTTCACATTAAATACTTAAAACTCATACAACAGGATAAAGAAATATAATGAATAAAATATGTATCTTATTGAACTTTTATCCTGCTTTAATACATTTTGTTCTGTCAGACTAACCAGAAACATATTAAAACTAGAAGAATTATAACAGATTTTTGAAATACAGTAATTATGTCAAATCAGCTACCAACAGAAGTAAAATGTGCTCAATGCTGTCTTATCTTCATTACTCATGTAATACAAAAAATTCCTCCTGCTGTGTCCCTTCCCCCTCCCTGTTCTCCTTTCCCTTCTAATGCAAAGCAAGAAAAAACACATGACAGGCTTTGGTAAGACTAGCTGATTAGCTTGGGATTTTTGGTGCTTAGTGTATACTGGAATACCACAGGATTTACAGAAATGAGAACAATCTAAACTGCTGATCCAACAACTAATAATTAAAGATCCTCTAACAGCTCTGAACAAAGTTATTAATAAAGCCTGTAATGAAAATACAAGAAGTCCATGCATTCTGGATGCAGGATCATTCTGAAGGCATGATTATAATACATATAGCTTTTCCACAGTGAAGCACAAGTATATATCCTGGATAATATACTAATTTTTACATATGTAAAGCACTTGGTATAGATAAACTGAACCTGCCCAGCATAGCAGGGCATCACTAGGCTCACTCAATGTGGCAACTGAAGCAGGAGTCTGCTCAAAGGACGCGACATCTAGCAGCGAAAAATAAAGTATGGAGCCCTTAGTTTGAATTTTAAACAAGCTCGGATGCACTTCACAGGCTGATACAGGGGTGGAAGAAAACTGGTTGAAATAAGCATCAAAATGGCTGAGGGCTCCAGAAGTGCATTTCATTGAGCCCTAAGTTTTTCTGTTTCTGATTTACTTCACCAAACTCGTGAATAATTGCAGACGCCTAAGTAAAAGATTTCCTATGCAAAAAATAAAGTCAGCCCATGATTAATCCAAACTGTGTCAGAGAGATGGCTTTTTGGCTTTTCAACTGATGCCTTGTAGATTTCTTTGTGATCATCCTTTACTGTAGGGACAAACTGTAAATTAAAGGGGAATGCTGCAGCTCTGCACTGCATCAGAGTGCTGTATGCTCTGCACTCCACAGTACACCTCAGCATTGCCTTTGGGGGACTTCAGTCACTACCCAGGTTTCTGACTGGCACTGGGAAGACATGAGGCCTGTTCTACACAGACCAAGGAGGGCAGCGGCCAAAGGCAACTGAAAACATACAGGTGTGCATTTCATGGAGATGTAGCCAGCACACTGTCTAGAAAGCTGTACACACTGATACATGTTGTTGATACCACAAGGAAGAAACCAAATTCTAAAAAGTAAATTGCTGAAAGGGATCCCAAGACTGACACAGGTTTGCTGTTTGCCTAAGTCAAATTATTTTTTATTATTATTATTATATTACAGCCAAGGTTATTTGTTCCTTAAACATCCCCAAACCTCTGACCATCATGTGTTAATGCCTAATGTGACTTCCTTGTCCACAGAACTGATAGAATTCCTTCCTTCACAGGTAGTTCAGGTAAAACAAAATGGAAAGCTCTTTACTAAATACTGGCTGTGAGATTTATAGATTGCGTATACCTTCCTGCATGCTTACAAGCATTATTAACATCTGCTTGTTAACAAATACTGTCCTTGGTTGTGCACCCTTCAGCACAGCTTTTCTGAAGTATAGTCAACGCATCAGAAACACACTGAGAAGTGATTCTGTCAAAACTTAGTCATCTTCATACCTCCTGTGACCATAAAGATAACCCATGGCTTTCCAGTACCCATTACTCTTCATGGGAAAGAAGCTTCTCCTGTCTCCTTCCTTACATACAATACCTGACTAAAGCATTTCACCAAGAACAAGTAACAGTGTTACCCAGTAAACTGGCACTGCACTTTAAGTGTTTCAGTACAAATACTTGCTCAGGTTAGTTTTAACATATGCATTTTTTTCTGTGTACTGAAACATAACAAAAGGATTTGTAAGTATTTTAATAAGTAAGTGACAAACTATTACATTTTCATGCAAGAGATGCAACGTATGCATTAAATTGCCATCTGGAAAAAAAGGCAAAATTAAAAAAAATGGATATGTCATGAAAGAAGCTATTTCATGCAACACAAATTAAGTTAATAGTATGCTTCATAAGGCAATACCTATTAAAAATGAATGGCTGTTACTGGTTTATAACTAAGGGGGACAATTTTTTTGTTTTTATAACTGAGCTGTATAAATTAAAGTGTGGGGAACTAACAAGTAGATAAAAATTAAAGAGGTAGAAAGTATTAACCCACCTTTTGAAAATAATAAAATGCCAATAAAATCAGAAAAGTAAGGCTTAGAAAAGTCTCCAGAAGATGCCTAATGAGTATTAGTTAGAAACTGTCCTATTTTATTGATGAGAACAGAGGCAAAAGCAGTCTTAATCACAAAAGTAAAACATGGAAGTATTCACCTGCTTGGAGCGTGGCACATTGCTGTTATTTTTTTCCATGAAGGACCATTTCAAAATGTTGGGTAAGGTTGGTGATTTCCATGTTGGCCACGGGTTGACAAATCTCCCATCTTTGCCTCTCTTTGATTTAGTAACATCCTCTTCTAATCTGTAGTCCAGCCTGAAGCTTTTTCTGAAGGTCCTGGAAGAATCGGAATTGCCCCCGGAACCTCGACCCGAATTCTGACGTTTCTTCACTGCTTCTTTAGGGTACTGGTTACAGGCACTTGAAGGCTGTTCTTGGTCTGTGTTCTTATCCATACCTTTTTCAGGAGAGCTAAATCAAATTTTAAATTAATCAATATTTTCTTGGTCTAGCATCAACATTCATAAGACTGAATGTTCTCACACACATCAGGAACAAGCCCGCCTTTCCTGTTTTATGATCTACTGTATTTTTTTAATCAACAAAATATGCTTTTAAAACAGTTGCTATTGCACAAAAGACTTCAAAAACATGCTGTGACAAGCAGACATGAGGGCTCTTTGTAGTTCAGGCCGAATTTTACTCCCTGGAATGCACAGCTTCAGATACTAACACTATTATCTACCAACTGCAAAAGTGAGGGGGAAGGGTTCCTTAATTTACATTTTGGAAGAATAGCCATTCCTCCTGAAACTCATGACATTTAGTGCCTGATGTAATACGATCCTGCAAGTCTGTGCAACACACACTGGAACTATACTGTACCTCGGGATTTGCCTATATAGTGACTTGGTTTTGTAGCAAAAACAGCAGTCTTGTGTAACATTATTAACACTTATACCAACACACATGCAGGAAACTCAGAACACAAAAGATATTTGGTACCATACTGTATTTTGTCTAAAACAAACAAGAAGTTTATTATAATAAAGGTAAATAATTGTGTCAAATATAATTTTGATATACATTTAACTGAACTAACTGGTGAAAGCTCACAGGAAATTAAATATTTTTAAATCACGGCTGCAACATTCACTCAATTCCATTGTGAAACACAAAAGTGAGAAAATAACCGAGAAAAGCTTATTTCTACAAAGCCATGATTCTGGTACAGTTCTTAGAAAAATATCAACTCATTAGTCAGAGTCTCCTATCCCAAACTGCACTTAAGTGTTGCAGACTTTACAAATATAATCAAAACCCAAGGTAAAAAAACCCAAATATCACTATTTTATTCTGGAAGTCGCTAAAGCAATTAAATTGAATCTAAATGCTTCAATTTCCATATTTACGTTCAACTGAAATGTTGACAGTAAACACACTGTCCTGTTAGATTTAAAAAAAAAAAAAAAAGGTTACTGTTTTAATGAGTGCACAACTTTCTGGCATTTACAAATTCTATCTAATTAAAACTAGAATACAACTAGACAGCACTATTTACAGCTTAAGTACAGTATTAATTTTTAATAACAAATTGTGAAGTCCATCCTGTGGGAAATTCTCCACCATATCTAAGAGATGGACATAGTTTTGTCCTATCTACTGTTTCACTAACTCAAATACTCAGACTCCAGCTGTACACTCAGAAGCACTGGGCTGATGTAGGCAAGGCAGTCCATGCAAACATTGTCAGAGAACAGAATGGAAGCTCAAAGTTTTCTTACAAATCACGTAACTCATTCTACCCCCATAAGCTCAATTAGAGGGAAGATTAAATATGTTGTTCACTGCAACATTTCAACTAAGATATTACACACATGTATCAGCAAACTGAACCCAAATGCATTTGCTGGTGATGCTCCAACTTCAAATACAGTCCACTTCTGCTATTTCAGCAGCAGCTGATGATGAAACACTAAGTATGGTATCAGCTGCAAAGAATATGACAATTGATAAATATTGTGAAATTTTCTTAACAAAATAACCATTATTGTGCTATACAGTAGAGATAAAATACTAACACATCAAAATTCATTTCAAATAAAAAAGGCATGAACTGCCTTCAGAAAACATGGCTGATTTTTTTACCCCAGTCACAATCTTATTTTTTGTAATTGCTTTGTATTCCTGTTTCCCTGCAGTTCTACTGAAACTACTCCACTTACATACTTCCTATTTAGCATTAGGATACCTTATCTGCATCATAATTTAAATTTAACTGTTGCTATTTCTAGGCTTTTTTCCTCTATTCCACTAAACAGTTCCCAGAATCAGCCTTCAATGAAACACTCAACTTGCTCTTTAGTATTTTACACAGAGGTAAATGATAACACAAGGAACTAGTGACACAAAAAGGCAGACAGAATACCCAAAAAAATGGTACTGAATACTTTAACTTTTACTTAAACTTAAGAGTTGGGTTTGGGTTGTCTTTTGCATTCCTCAAAGAGCATTTTCAATGCCAAGTCAGTTTATTAATTTAGCAAAGCACACAGACACAGCATAAAACAGCTACTCTTTTAGAAAGCATAATGAAAACAAATCACAAAAGTTTAATCAGATAGGTACTTAATTCCAGGAAATGATTCTCTTAACATCTCAGATGTCTGATTTTTAAAACATATATAACTACCATAATTATTGCTCCTATAAGACATTTTATATTAGAGACTGGGGTGCCTAAAGTTTTATTTTTAAGCTTCTGTTTATCTATTCATTCATCTCTAAAATGGGTGAATTTTACTTTTGCTTAAACCTTCATATAAACCTTTGATCTTTTTCTGAAAGTATAAACCCCTAAGGGAAGCAGGGATCAACTATGCTGATTAAACAAAGACAATGCCAAAGCATTTAAGGCACTGCAGGTATCTATCTGTCTGCCAACATATTTTCCACATGATGCACATACATTACTTTCATTAGTATTCCATAAGCAACCGAAGGGATTAAAAGACCTCAGTGCTCACAGAATACTTTAAATCTTTTACATGCATAAGAAAGGGACACATTTACAATCAGTTAAAGTATTCCTGATGAACTGTAAGTTCCTTTGAAGTATCAGTCTTGCCAGATAGTTTCTCTTCCATTTAAATTTATTAAATATATACTACAATATTCATGACATAGTTTTCTTATACAGAAGAGCAAGGTGATAATTTCTTGAAAGCCAGAAATCATTAGCTTAAAATAAAACTCAACCAATTATTAGACCAAGGAGATTCTTATGCTTTTGCAACAGAAAGCCTCTACAGATAAGGAGATTAGCAGGTATACTTTAAAAACTAGAAAATACCCAACCAGAAATTGGTTGGTTTTTCTGCCAGCTTTCCTAAATTCTTCCTACCCAAAAATAATAGTTTGGAACTTGAAAAACTACTTTAAGCACCTGAATGGCAGCAAAATTTATGAGCTATAGACATGCAAAAATCAAACTGGAACAGAGTTCTGTTCACTTAGGAGGGACAGAGGGAAGGGATCACATCCCTGGTCAATCTTTATTGTTATGTAATGTTCTACATAAAATCTTTTTATACTTTTAAATATAAAGAAAAACTACTATTCTACTTAAAATCATTAAACAGCTTTCCTGGCAAATGGAACCCATCCTTCAGGATGAGGCAACTCACCCCAACAGAGGGCAAGTGCATTGACACTGTTTCTAAGAGGGGCTCAGGAGAGATACAAGACAACCACCCTCCCTCTCTGTCCTCAGAGATGCTTCACTCTTTCAACTGAATTCAGAAGAGGAAATGAACCAAGATGTACAAACTCCTAAAGAAGATCATTAGTCATCCAAATTCACAAGGCCAGAAGGTGTTCTAGACAGAGGGGAAGAACACCACTGGCTGATGAATAAGACAAAGTTTAACATGAATCAAAATACAGAGCTCACAGATCAGGTTTTCCAACATCAAATACTAAGGAACCCCCCCATAATCCACAAAGGAAAAGCGAAGTTGCAGATCTGATAAGACACGGCATGGAAGGTCTGTGTATGACATCCCACTAAACTGACACCTGTAAACAGGATATAGCCCTTAGGACAACAGGTTTTGGGTAAATGGCTTATTTTTCATTGCTTATATAACTAAAATACAAATATTTTGACTTTGAGCCTTGTGTTTACTTAGGAAAATAACAAAACTTTAGCTAAATATTTTAATGCTCTATTTCAAAAGGATACAACAACATTACAAGAAGCACTCTGCCATTGTAATTTTTCTTTTTAAATGGTCTTTTAAATACAGCAGAGCTCCAAATTACTTGAACATTGGCATAAATTCTATTATCTTCACCTTTTCCACCCAGCCTCTGCCAAGATCTGCTTCTCCATAAATGCACTGGATGTAGTTCCCCCTACTAATCACAGAGCCATGCACAACATGCTACAAAGAATCGTTGGCCAAAACAGACATTCTCTTCTTTTCTACAAAGAAATGTGGTCCTTATGCAACAAATCCATAGGCCTGAAAGTTTAAGCATTGCTATGAAGCTATGGTTTACCAGAACACAACTTCCCAAAAACTTTACAATTGCCTGGCAAACATTCCATAGCTTACCAAATACCTTTAGTTTCTCTGCGTTTTTGAAGTAAAAGGTTTGGTTCATTTTTAATCACTGTCTCTCTGTGTAAACTACAACCAGAACTAGGCTGCACTAATGATCACCTAGAAGAGACAGCACATAATTCCCAGCAAACTCACACCACTACAGCCTTACCAAAACAAGACTCTGAGCTTTCTCCATATACAGCTACACAACTCCAAAGTTCCCTTTCATTACACATATTTTTAATGACTGCAAAAACCCATGCATTTTGGCTTGAAATAAAACAAAAAATTGTTTCAGTTAGAAGGAAAGGTATTTGCAAACACTAGGGACCATGTAAGTAATTGGCTCCCACAAGCTTTACTATCAAATGACTGCCAGCTAAGTTTTGGCTCTGCTTTTATTTTCCCTTCAGGTCTGAAATCGGCCGCTTTAATTAATGAACAGTTTGAGACTGGAAAATTCTGAATGCATTTAAACTTTTATTGTGCAGTATTTCAAGTTGTTCCATCTTACCACTGTAGACTTATCAGAACAAGAACCTGAGCTTTCTGTGAACTGCATACTGCTACACATCTTGAAGTTTTCTTTCATTATACCTATTTTTTATCACTGCACAGCAGTTGCATCAGCAATTATTCCAGATGCTCTTGTTATTAGAATTTCATACAAAGATCTCTCAAGTTTGCATTAGCTGATGTGTGAATACTTCCATTATTTGAAACATATTAAAAGTCTTTAGTAACAAAAAGTGTTGCCAAATTTTTCATTCAACAGATCTCTAAGTATCTTGATTCTACACTGTCTTTGTGTACTATTCAAGAAAGATGAATAAAAGAGTTGATTACAGAAAAAGGAACAGC